TAATAGGAACAGAAGTACCACTTCCCATTTTTCATTGGAGTTGATTGACAATGATGTCAGCATGATTGGCTATTCCTAACCATATCCATGAAGCATTATTGTGCTTTTTGATAATCGAAGCCAGATTAGAATCAATGTATTTTATCTTTAGAGTGGATGCAAGATATGGATGAGAATATGTGAGAACTCTCCAAACTTGATTTGCCACTAGTGCCTTGTTGACCAAGTAAGACGATCGAACACCCAAACCTCCTTCATCCACAGGTAAGAAGAGCTTGTTTTTACTAAGCAAATAAATCTTCCTTTTGTCTCCTGTGCCACTCCAGAAGAAATCCAAACAACGAGCATCAATTCGATCACGTATGTATTTTGGAAGGGGTACACATGACAGGGTGTGAATATCGACTGAAGAGAGGACAAATTTAATCAATTGCAAGCGAGACGCTTGAGACAACAAACGTGCTTTCCATGCAGTTGTACGCCTTTCAACCGTCTCGATAACATGATTATATGTCTGAGATTTATTCTTACCTGGATCAATCCAAGTCCCTAGATATTTACCTAACCTTGCTGAGAAGCCAATTAGCAAAAGTGAGGACAACTGAATTTTAGCAGTCTGAGGAACATTTGGACTGAAAATTAAGGAAGATTTAGCTAGATCTAATTCTTGATTAGACAAAGAACTGTATAAATCCTCAAAATTTCTTTCTCTCTTCGATTTCCATATCCCCAAAAGAATTAGAAGGACTCATCTTTTGCTTCTTCCCTGAATCTTCGCACCTCCATCGCACATCATCACACTCTCCTTCTTCCCTCATACTTTCATTTCTCTGAACTCCCATGGCTTCCATAATCTCCTTTCGTGCCGTCGATCTTCCATCAGAGATGCAAGGCTAAGTGCTGTGTTTCGCCGGAGATGAGTTGAGCAGCCCGAGCTTCTGTGATTCATTGTGCAATTTGTTTCTTTCATGAGCTTTAGGCTAGAAATATGATTGAGCTATGAGAGTTATGTACTTCAATCCATATGTTTAGAATGTGAACTGTAGATCTTGAACTAAAGTTCTGCATGCCTTGTTAGAATTGGTTTAATAGTGGATTATTACTAAATTCAAGTTGAATTTACTTCTCTTATTTCTGAAATTGAATTGAATTGCTCACTTTGGTCGAGTTGGTTACTGTTTGTGATTGATTCAATTGGACCTAAGGCACCGCAGGTTTGTGACTGTCACAGAGAATTAATCCAATGTTTAACTTCTTCTTGACTGAATGTTCTCTTGCTCAGTGTTAATTCTTGCGAGTTGTGGCTTTAATATTGATTGAATTAGTGAGTTATTGATTGTTACCCTTGATTCAGTCATTAAACTCGTCTTAATAAGCTATGAAGGCTCAAGGCTAATTCCACGGAAGCGTCATCCATATTTTGGTAGTAAAACTCTTTCACATCAATCTTCTCTTCTCAATTCTTTGTTCTATTTACAGCGATTAAAAAAATATAACACATAAACAATAGCATTAGGCATTGTTGTCAAACTCATGAGTTAATTCTCTGAGGTCAATGTTTTTACGTTTTTAACTTATAAAATCATATTGACTCATTCTTAAACTATTGCTAATTTTGGATTTAGATATGCTTTAATGACTTTATATGTGAATTTTATAAAAATTTCCTTGTAGAATATGGTAAATTATGAAAGTTGATGGATTTAATTTTAATTATTTGTATACAAAATATATTTAAATGAAATTTTTGTTATTTTTTATATTTTATTTATTTAATTATATACTTTTAATTCCAATTTATTAATAAAAGTAAATTTTTACAAGTTTATGATTTGGGTTTATATTCCTATCACAAGTTTAACTAAACTCATGAGTTTGACAATCTTAGCATTAGGAGTTAAACCAGAAACTACGGAAGTAATTCTTCTTTTAGGATTCACAATTGTTAGCTTGATAACTTGTGTGTTTGACCAAAAAAAAAAAAAAGCTTGATGACTTGTGCTTTTTAGGATTGGTAGGAATTTCAGCAAGCAAGTAGGCTATTTTGAGATATGACCTAGGCTAGATTCCTCTATTGCTGCATTTACAGCTTAGTTTCTTTTGATAAGCACTACGACATGCTTTTTAGCTGTAAAGGTTAAAAGAGTAAGGGAAAAAAATACTTTATGAAATGAAGAATTCAACTGAAACATGCATGAACAAAACATATCAAAGACTACTTTTGCCTTTGTGTGTTTGTATTGATAAGCTTTGCTGTTACACGCACTCGTCATGAGACCAATATATACATGTATCGAAATTATGACAATAAGAATTAAAATGAAATGAGCTCAACACATCTCTAAACATGTACGGCGTGGAGAAATAAAATCTCCTCCAGATTTTGGCTTTGTGCTTCTCTTTTTTTTTTTTTTGGCTAAGCACATGTATTCTCCTATTAGAGGTAATATTGTTCGAGATGCTGTCAGGCACTAAATATGAATACATCTTCTAATAAAAATTCAAATATCAGTTCATCACTTTGTGAAAGACTAGCCCCTCTACTAGACCCTCCTATTAGGCTTTGTTCTACTTGAATAGAGAGTATGTATGATGGAAACAGATTTTCTATTTTGGCCCAAGAGATGAAACGGCCTGCATCTATTGAATAGAGAAGTTAATATTATTTTAATTAATTGAAAAGGCTTGGGATCTTGAATTTCCTGGTTATGTACAAGAGATTAAAAAAAAAACTCTAAATTTTTCTATCTAACGACAACTAAAAGGAGGAGACACAATTCTATCATGAAATTAAGGGAAGATGTTGGAGAACGGACGGAAGGACAGAAGGTGATGTTACAAACTGCTTTAAAGCTTCTAATTCTATATCATTTGATGATGTATTGAGTTTTTCCAGTTATAAAATAGATTATTCTATATAAATAGAGCACTAACAACCCCTTGACAGCATGAAGTCAAAAAGAGGCAGTTGTTGAGCTACGTGGTTCAAAGGCTCCAGGACCAGATAGGTTTGGTTCTTTGAAGGGTTGATTTGAATAAGACAAATATAGTCTTGATTCCAAAAATTGACAAACTAGAGGAAGTTGGTCACTTTCATCCCATTGGATTGTGCAGCTTCTACTGTATAGTAGGGAAAACTGATTGAATAGGAGAATTACAACAAAGTCTCAAGAAAGAAAAAAGAATTACAAAACAATTTCCAGATGTCATCATTCTTCATTCTAAAAATTGTTATTACAGGTTGCTCAGGTTGTTATTAGAACTTTTTAGTAATTTTTTTTTTTTGGAACTTGATTGTAATTCTCCTTTATTGAATTTTGATTGGATCCTTATATATTTTTTTTATTATTCAATCTTTATTGTTTGCACAGTTTTAATCTTACTCCTTCCGTTATAACACCGTTACTTCAATAGTGATGAGATGCTGCCACATCTTCCCTCAGATCCACCATCTCCTCCCTCCACTTCTCTCTCCTTCCTTTTCCCACTCAACTGTAAATCATTCTCTCTCACTGTTCATGTATTCTCTCTCCCTTTCCTCATATCTTCGCTTGTAACCCGGGAATTTCTTCCATAATGAAGTTCATTCATTGCAAGTCAACCATTTCGTCTCTTCTGTCTACTTTATGGCATTGGCTCTGCAAGAATGGAGGATCGAAGAAGGAGAAGGGAATTATACAAGAGGTGATAAAGACGATGATGGTAGAGAGAGGGAGAGAGAATACATGAACAGTGAGAGAGATAATGGTTTTCAACTGAGTGGGGAAGGGAGGGAGGGAGAAGCGGAGGGAGGAGATGGTGGAGCTCAGGGAAGACGTGGCAGCACCTCATTCATTGAAGTAACGGTGTTATAACGCAAGGAGTGAGATTAGAACTGTGGAAACAATAAGAATTAGATAAAAAGAAAACAAAAATATAAGGACCTGATGCAAATTTAATAAAACTATAAGGACTTGCACATCAGTTTTCCTGTAAAGTAATATCAGAAGTCCTTGCTAATAGATTAAGATCTTCTTTGTTCATTTATGCTTCAGTTAAGCCTCAAATATTCCGTAGTCTCAAGAGACTTTTCCTAAAATGTTAAGCATAATTTCTCCAAAAAAAAAAAAAGAAATCATTTCGTAACTGTAATTTTCAAAAATGACACTTTTGCCTCAACCTAAAATATGGTAGTAATACAATTTTATATTGATGTGTCTATTTTTTTTTTTTGGCCCTTGATTAACGTTTAATAACAGATTTAGCCTTTACTCAACAGGCCTTATATGTTTGGTGAAAACAAAGGGGGGGGCGCCTTATGTTACAATCAACAAAGTAAAACAAGGAAATTATGCAAGACTCAATCAGATTTTTTAAGCTAAGCTGGAAATTATTACTTAAAAATTCATACACAGAAATATGTGTGTGTGTGTGTGTGTGAGTGTATTCATAGGTATGTATATCTGTAACAAAGATCCAAATGACTACTGGCGGTATAGTGACAGTAAAGATCAGACGGCAATAGCAGAGGAGAGACGGGGAAAGAAAACGAAACGAATAATCAGAGAGGACATGCAAGGAAGGAAACACGGGGCAGCAAAATCGTCTGCCATCTCTGAACCCTATAGGCTGCCTTATACCCAAGGTTTCTTATAAGCCCAATCGAAGCCTCTGGCCCATTACCCATAATTTGGCTAATAGCTCAACTCCATATTAAACTAGGGCGCATTCATGGCAGTGCGTAAGTTGCTTTCACGCGAATAAGGAAACATCCGCATTAAAATCCTCTTCACAACTTTATTTGGTGTGCATTTCAATATGATTCAATGGGTTAAAATGCTTCTTCTTTTTTCAGAGGAAGCATTCTCATACGTGCCACGGCCACCTAAAAAAGCAACTGAGGAGGAAAAGAAAACGTAAAGAGAAAAAAATATTAATGAGGCAAGGAGAAATGAAACCGAAAAAAATAATAATAATCATGTTTCCAAGAGACATTTATTCAAAGAAAGATCTGATAAGAGAAGGCAAATAGAGAACATGGAAGACATTATTACAAAGTCAAATGCAGACATACAAGCTTTCACAATTTGGTCCCTGGAACATTTTATTTTGGGATGATATCATAAAGAAAAGCCAACGTAGCTAGAGTTGTGCATATGTCTTAGGATCATACACTACACTGCCATTGTCGTTCAAATATGAAACCACACACATACGAGTACAAATGTAGCCCATATGATGAAGACATATGGCACCAGATCAGGGCGCACCATGAATGATATTAATATTGTTAGGGCAAGAGATCCTGAAATAACATCTCCTGTAAATTCGTAGATGCATTTGCATAAAATCAGAGCCCGCATCCTTATAGGACTTTGCTCCATCACTAATGCATCAGGGTAGTGCTTCTCCACTATATCAGTCAACATTCGAATCACAATATCAAAGCCTTTTTGACGAGGAACCAGCCTGCATGCGTAAGCATCAAATCAATTAGCAAGTTGGAACATGGTGGTTTATTCTTGTGCCTTTGGACAAGATGTGCATGGTTTGGTTTTAAACTAGTGCTGCGTTTTGACGGAAATAATACAAGTAGATTTGACTGATATGGAAAGAAAGCAAAGGACTGTTGCTGAGTTGTGGAATGCTAAAGGGTGGGAGGTGGCGAAGAGGACACCTGAAGATGGTTATTTGAAGGTTAATTGTGATGGTGCCTATGACTCTGTGAGAGTTGCAATTAGTATAATCTGCAGGAATAGTGAGGGAAGGTTTCTTTGGGGATTTGGAGATAAGGTGACAGTTGTCTGTGCTTTTTCTACTAGCCGTTCTCCACTAGGCGTGAAGCCCGTGTTAACTAGTACAAAAGATATTTTTTCTATTAGTGATAAACTTGGTATTTCTAAAGCTGTATTGGAAGTGGATTATTCTGAGTTGGAAGAAAAAATCGGTAGAAGGGTCTAATTGGAGGGGGAGGTGGGAATTGTAGGATCTCCTTTAATGCCTTAACAGTGAATGGTGCTCTAGAAGTTACTCTTGTTCCTAGAAGGGCTAACAACCTGAGGCAGTAGACTGGATTATTGTAGGGTGAGCTGATTTGATGATGTGAAAGATGCAAGGGTTACATGGAAACGGAGGATAAAATTCAATCATTAAAGGTCAATTTTTTGGTAGAGTAAAAAGCAAATGAGTGAATTTGATCATGAAATTTGCTATGAAGCTAAAGCTCATCCTAAGGTTTATAACAAGTCTTGGATCATGAAATTTGGATGTGAGTTAAAAGTTATAATTTCTCAAATTCAGAACAAACAAATTTCTCAAAAACAAGGTTGGTTTATTGATGATCAAACAGGTTTAGGAGCTTCTAAAGACTCACAAGCTCATGTGTTATAAGGAAGGAAAAGAAAACCTACAACGTTTTCAACATTGGCATGCACTCAAAGCTATTTTAAGGTCCAACTAAGTCCAAGAACATAAAATTTAGATTTTAAAACAAAAGTTGCGATTTTTCAAATTTTGCACAGAAAGTCTGGAAATTACATTTTCACCAAATGAACAATGCGTCTTCCCTTGGCTTTTCTATTATATTGATCCGAATAATGAACTGCATTAAGTTGTTTTATCTATTGAGAAAAGCTTTAGATAGAGATTTGAGCCACCTAAAATGACATTTTAGAATTAATCATGAATGATCAAATTTCATTGAAAACTTTAGATAGTAAGGTAGGAGCTGCTGTAGAATTTTCCAGAAATTCAAGGGTTGGTTTTTTGAAAACTAAACAAGGTCTAGGAGTTGCAATAGATTTGAAATCATGTGTTGGATGGAAGAGGAAATTCTAGGAGTTGCAATAGATTTGAAATCATGTGTTGGATGGAAGGAAAATTAAACATAACCTACACAATTTCCCCATTTTCCCCATTTCCAGCCAAGAGGAGATGTATAAATTTGGGCTAATTACTTGAGATGATTTGATGATGTAAATGATGCAAGGTCTAGTATGCATTCTTACATGGAAATGAAGGATAACATTCAATCATTAAGGTTCAGATGAGTGATTCTGACCAAACAAATGTAAATGATGCAAGGTCTAGTATGCATTCTTACATGGAAATGAAGGATAACATTCAATCATTAAGGTTCAGATGAGTGATTCTGACCAAACAAATTTGCAACCTAATAAGGTTTAAAATAAGTCCAATATCACCAAATTTGGATGAGTGAGCTAAAGTTATGAAGCTCTAAAATCCGTTAAGAACAGACCAAACAGAAACCATAGCTTGGATCCTCTCCGCCGGAGCTCCGTCGCAAGATCACCGTAGAAGAGAACCCAGGCTCTGTGATAATACCTCATTACAAACTAGTGCATGTATTTCTGTTGCACAAACTCACCAAGCAAATAGAGAAACGAAGGATTAAAAGATTGAGAAAAGAAATTCACTGAGAAAAGAAATTCACTGACCTTGTGAGCTGAGAAATCCTTGGACACTGGGGAGAAGGCATTGCTGTTACAGGTATAGCGGCGGTTGTGGCGGCTGTGTGTAATAAATTAGTTGAAGTGCATAAAGAGAAGCAAATTTATAAGAGGGGTTTGATGATAACTCATTCTTATTACAAAGCTGGGGACGACATGCGTTGTATCTAGTAAGAAACTGATGGTGCCTGTTAATTAGTGACTTCCTTGGGGACCTGTTGGCAATTAATCTTTTGTCAGTGTTGGACAGTTTAACTGGATGTCAAAGTAAAATATAACTCAAATAATTAACTGCAGCAAATTGCACATTTTTATTTCAAACAAAAATCTGGACTTGGGGAGCGTGGTTAAAGAAACCAAACAGTGAAATAAATTGAAGAATTTTTAGAGTCAAATTTCATCCATTTTATCTGGTGTCAATAATTTACTTGGACATGTAAAGAGAATTGGGAAAAAGGCAAAGGCCGTAAAGAGGAAGGAGATTAGTAACAGCAGGAACGGAGATTAGTCATATATATGAACTTATACCCACACATATTGAAGCAGATCTGTTCACAAAACTAGAGATTTTTAATTTGAAGCAAATTAAGATAGATAGAAAGAAAGAAAGGTACATATAAACAACATGAGTAGCAGAAGCAGAGATAAAACTGATGCTGGTTGACCTGAGGGGGCTGAAGAGAGAAGAAGTGAATGATGCAGAAGAAGACATCTTGAGATTTTGGGCTATCTGCTTTGGTTGCTCTGAAGAGAAATTCGAACTAAAGAGAAAGGCATTTGGAATGAGAGCTGGGGATGATGAAGCAAGAATTGTAATGGATGATTATTTCTTTGGTCAACGATAATGTGGCCAGTTATTAATGAATTAGTTTATTTCCCATGGGCAGCGTTCGCGTTGACGTTAACAGTAATGCCAATGCAGATCACGTAGGTGGACTACTCCTTGGATGGATACAGATTAACTACACCTTGGCTTGCAATATAAAGAAATGTTGTACTTAATTTTAAATTGAATATTTAATTACCTAATTTTTTGTTGCAGCAATATAATCATGTATGTAATGCTATATATATTGATTATTATAAATTGTAAATTTACAAATCTATTCTGATGATATTTTATAATTGTTAAATTTCTCTATGCGTAATATTTTCTCCAGATTTTAGTTTGAAAATATCTCAACTTTTTATATTGAAACTATAAGCTTTTAGGTGCAAAAACAAAACGTAGTAAAAAAATAGAGAAGAACATGCACGAGTATTAGCAGAAATTCAATCCAAAAGTTCCTAATTTGCAAAAATATATATATTATAAATTTGTATTTCTATTACTATATTTCAACAGACTGATCGAATAGTTAAAAAGGAAGGTGGCGTACCTGTATCAAAAACTAAGGAAGGTGGTTCAAGAACAAGAATATGGATTCGCCAAAGAACCATAGAGAAATGAAGCCATCTGTGCGTGTGTAACGCTGGTGCTTACTAGATTTATAAATTTGACTTATACGACCAGACGACATTACAATTCATAAATAGCCAGTGAAACAATATCAATGGATAGATGCCAAGTCAAAGGAAGAAGGTCATGTAACATGGAATCACTCTCTCTCTTACATGAAAGAAAATTATTTGCAAACTAATTATCTGATAGAGAAAAGCAAACATAACTTGCAAAGTTGCATGCCTTTATTAATTGCATCCCACCTACTCCTCAAATATGACACTCCGCTCTTGCGTGCACACATATATATAATATTTTTTGTGGTCCAAGCTAAGTACATGAACAGAAAATTAAACCACATTGTCGGTTGAATTACCAATCTGAATATTGTCTGCTGAGAACCCAGATTATTGTTGTGAGAATCCGCTCCGTGACGGACGAGGTAAGGGAGGATGTTTGTCGCTGTCATCATCATCATCAGAAGCATATCAAGAGGTTGGATTGCATGAAGAGGGATGAAGATTCGTAAAAAGAGCAAAATTCCTAGTCACATATATCTTCCATTTTGCCACCAGATATGACCAGTTTTCCTCATGTCACATCTGGAATGAAAAGCAACATTAAGCTTGACACAAGGAAAACCAAAATATATTTACGAAAACCCACACCAAATGAAAAATCTCAACCGACCAAGGACCATGAATTAGGATATATTCCTTGTGCTGCATGTTCACTTGACTTTCCCTATCCTAACAATCTTTGATGAGTTCGTAATGAAACCAATCATAGCCTCTTGCGTCTGTACAAGGAAACTCCATGAAAGCTGCAAGCCAAAGAAGAGAAGAACAAGAACAAAAGAGAAGTAATCTGGAGATGCAGAAAAAAGCTAACAGGATCCGCCAATATATAGAGAAAAGGAAAGGTAACCTACAGAAGCCAACGACAACATTTGGTAATAAGAAAAAACTTATTTATATGCATTTTGTTAGCTAATCAGGCTCTTGTGGGTTTAAATCGATTTATTTGGGCATAATTAGGTGTTTTAATGCATAACTGTTCACAAGGGTATTTTGGGAATTAAATGAGCTAAATGATATATTCCTTCCGTCCCTTTTTATAAGCAACCTTGGACTCTATCACACAAATTGAAAAGCAAGTTAAAGACAATAAATTAATGGGAATTGAAAGTTCTTTCTCCAAAATACCTTTATTTATGGAAAAGAGAGAGCATAAGAAAGAGAATAAAAAAATATTATAATAAATAGAAGGGCAAATTTCACTGTAGGACCGCAGAAGACAATTAATTTCAAAGAGCCCCCAAAACTTTCTGAAATTTCACTGCAGGACCAAGGGGGCAAAATGATATTAATTCCACAAAGAAAATGACCCTATTGCCCCTCATGTGAACAAGTATGGGAGAACCCATTTGCAAGTGAGGTTAGATAATTTACAACATGCATAAATATATTTACAATTAAAATTAGTCCATTTACATATTACCTTCTTCACCTGAAGAATGTGTCTGAGTGAACAAGTGTGGAACAACCCATTTGCAAGTGAGACTAGACAATTTGCAACATACATATATTTATTTACAACTGGAATTAGTCCATTTATATGTCACTTCCTTCACCTGAAAAAGGTCTCTGTGAGTGAACAAGTGTGGGAGCGCTCATTTGCAAGTGGAATTAGTCAATTTGCAACATACATACATACAGATATTTACGATTAGAATTAGTCCATTTACATATCACCTCATTCCCCTGAAAAAAGTGCCTGAGTGAATGAGAGAACCTATTTGCAAGTGGGACTAGTCAATTTGTAACATACATACCTTTATTTACAACTGAAATTAGTCCATTTACATGTCACCCTGCAATAAGTATTATGAGGGGCAATAGCGTCATTTTCTTTGTGGAATTAATATCAGTTTGCCCCCTTAGTCCTGCAGTGAAGTTTCAGAAAGTTTTGGGGGCTCTTTGAAATTAATTGTCTTTTGCGGTCCTATAGTGAAATTTTCCCTAAATAGAATTATGCAAGAGGGAGAATGGAATGGAGAGAGATGATGATTTGGAAAATGAGATAATAAATATATTGAGTATTAAAATAAGTAATTAATGGGAGAAAAGTCGAAAATTTGCTATAAAAATTTAAGACAACTTGCAAATGTTGTTTATATTTAGGGATAAGAAGGGGATGGTAATTGTTGCTTATAAATAGCGACCAAGGGAGTATTATTTGTTAATATTTGTAATTCTTGAATATTTTCTATTTATTTAAACATACGATATTACCTTTGTTTATTTAATTGGGTAGGTGATGACGTGGCGCCGCTTGGATTAAGGAGGGGCAAAGATGGAAATTCGTGGAGTGTAAGGGCAAAATTTTATTCGCCCTTGATTTTATTTTTATTAGGATATAAGTGGACTTTTAAGTTCTTTGTCATTTGGGCTAATTTAGTGTTGTCTATTTGAGCTAACCGATGTCTAAACATAAGGTTACCCATTACACATGTAAATAGTCTTACTTCAGCCCAATTCTTATCTCCAGGCCTAAGCCTCATTCCACTCCATCAAATATTAGGTTACACGCTACGCGTTCCATATAAAAATTTTATGTCTCCCCCCATCGTCTTCTTCAACTTCTGTCTTTCCAACTCATCTTCTCTTTATCCCCACTCCATCAAATATTAGGATGAAAATTAAAATTAAGAATTTTTCAACATTTTTACAAAAGATTTAATTCATATTTTCATTTAAATTCTTAAAGAGCTGTAATCAAGACCTTTCTATTTTTGATAAAAGGATCAACTTCATTAAAACAATATAAAAAGATTACAGTAAAAAAACCAGCCCATCACAGGAAAAAAAAAAAAAAAGAGCGAAATAATCATCAAGGCTCTAACGTTAATGGTTAAGACTATAAAATCAATAACTTTTATATAAGGTATGTATAAGGAATCCAAGACTTACCGAAACTTACACATTGACCCAAAAAATAATAATTCTCTTTGAAATTATTATTCATAATTATAGCATTCGCTTGGTTCAAAGAAGCATCTATAGAAAGGAAAAGGTGATCAGCAATCAACGCATTTGAGACAACACATAATTCATTTATAAAATATTCATTTTTTAGGGTTTTTTTCCCTCCAACCAGCATGTTTTCTCCTGAACTCGAATCAAGTTTGCAAAAGTAATGGATGGTTTTAAAAATGTTCATGAAAAAGTTATTTTAGCAAGTTTCTGTAGAAAATACAGGTTAATACTTCGTGTTGAATGCTGATTATTTGGCATTAAATGCCTTTATAGGATCAATGATGATTATGTCGCCTACTTACATATGAGGAACCTTCTTGTAATTTCAATGTTACTAGTACTTGCTAATAAAATTTATGTGATTGAAGAAATTTATGTTACATTTCATACATAGAGATGGAATTTGGGACGGCCAATAAAAAGACAAAATATAGTAAGTTAATCTCAGAATTCATCTTGATTTCCCTCTTTGAGAAAGAAGTATTTAATATTCGAAAACTGTTTCAGTTGCTTCAAGCTTCTAATCAACCATTCTCAGCTATTCATAAAACTTGTTTGTAGTAACTCAATGAATGATGAAGTATTTGAACGATAAGTAGTCATTATTTTTATATGCTTTGATATGACTCAGCATTGTGGGAATTTAGAGCCAGTTTCTTGGTAACCATGCAACAGGGAATGAGTGTAGACTTGTGAAATCTGAGATCGTTGTACCCAAGATTTCTCATAAGCCCAATCAAAGCCTCTGGCCCATTACCCAAATTTGCCTAATAGTCCAAGTCCATATTAAACTAAAGCCCATTCATGGCAGTACGTTAGTTGCTTTCACACGAATAAGGAAACATCCACGTCAAAATCCTCTCTACAATTATACTAAAGCCCAGAGGAAGCATTCTCATACGTGCCACGGCCACCCTAAAAACAACTAAGGAGGAAATTAAAAGAAAATGTAAAAAGAAAAAAATTAATGAGGCAAGATGCAATGAAAACAAACAACAACAACAACCACCCAATCATGTTCCCAAGAAACATTTATTCAAACAAATATCTGATAAGAGAAGGCAAATAGAGAACATGGAAGACATTATTACAAAGTCACATGATTCCATCGGACATACAGGCCTTCACAATTTGGTCCCTGGAACATTTTATTTTGGGATGACGTCGTAAAGAAAAGCCAAAACCACATACTCCTATGAATAATGACGTAACTAGAGTTTGTGCATATGTCTCAGGATCATACGCTGCACCGCCATTGTTGTTCAAATATGAAACCGCACACATACGAGTACAAATGTAGCCCATATGATGAAGACATATGGCACCAGATCAGGGCGGACCATGAATGATATTAATATTGCTAGGGCAAGAGATCCAGAAATAACATCTCCTGTAAATTGGTAGATGCAGTTGCATGCAATCAGAGCCCACATCCTTTTAGGGCTTTGCTCCATCACTAATGCATCAGGGTAGTGCTTCTCCACGATATCAGTCAACACTCGAATCACCTTATCAAAGCCTTCTTGACAAGGAACCAGCCTGCATGCTTAAGCATCAAATCAATTAACATGCTGCTTTATTCTTGTGCCCTTGGACAAGATGTGCATGGTTTGGTTGTAAACTAGTGCTGCGTTTTGACGGAAATAATACAAGTAGATTTGACTATTGGTTTAACAAAATAGCTACAGAACTAATTATTTGATGACTATCAGCTAGCATAAGTGGCTTGGTTGATTTGGCTAATACGGAAAGAAAGGAAAGGACTGTTGCTGAGTTGTGGATTGCTAATGGGTAGGAGGTGGTGGAGAGCACACCTAAAGATGGTTATTTGAAGGTTAATTGTGATGGTGCCGATGACTTTGTGAGTGCTGCCATTGGTATAATCTTCAAGAATAGTGAGGGAAATTTTCTTTGGGGGGTTGGAGATAAGGTAACAGTTGTGTATGCTTTTTCTAATGGCCATTTCTATGCCAGACATTGCTTTAGTATCAAAGGCCAACTTTAACTAATGTAAAAGACATTTTTTTTAGTAGCAATAAACTTGGTGTTTCTAGAGCTGTATTGGAGGTGGATTATTGTGTGTTGTAAGAAAAAATCAGTAGAAGGGGCTGATTGAAGGGGGAGGTGGGAATTGCAGCATCTCATTAATGCCTTAACAGTCAATGATGCTGTAGAAGTTACAATTGCTTCCAGAAGGGGCAACAACCTAAGGCAACGGGTTGGATTGTTGTGGGGTGATGATTTAGTGATGTGAATGATGCACAGGTTGCATGGATATGGAGGATGAAACTCAATCATAAGGGTCAATATTTTGGTAGAGTAAAAACAGCAAATGAGTAAATTTGAACATGAAATTTGGATGTATGAGTTAAAAATTATGATTTCCCAAATTTGGAACAAACAGCCTGAAAATTGTAGTTCACCAAATGAACAATGCTTTTCTAACGGGCTCTCTACAATATTGGTTAAAATCATGGAATGAGCTATATATTTCATTTGTAGAGAATCTAAAGAGCTTAAAATAAAGAGCCGAACAACTTTGGTATGAGTTTTCTGAAAATAATTATGAATTTTTAAAGTTTACAAAAACTTGTAGAATTAACTAATAAATAGTAACCCAAGTATTACAGCAATTTTTTTTTATTCTCTAAGGTTTTTATGACTCAAGTGGCTTGCAGATTATATGTATTAAAGTAAGACAAGGAAGGAGGTACTGTCTAATTTTGCAAAAACAAGAAGGTTGGTTCATTTGATGATCAAAAAAGGTTTCAGAGCTACTAAAGACTTACAATCATGTGTTATAAGGAAGGAAAAGAAAACCTACAGCGTTTTCAACATTTTTCTTTTTTTCCAGCCAAGAGAAGATATGCATGTATAAGTTTGATATGATGATTTGAGATGTCAATTATGCAAGGGTTAGTATGCACCAAATGAGTAATGGTCAATCTATTGGTGGAGCAAAAACAAAGCAAATTAGTGAGATTGACCACAAAATTTGGTACGCAGGTAAAACACATTCTAAGGTCCAACTAAGTCTAAGAGCATATAATTTAGATTTTTAAACTAAAAGTTGTGATTTTCAAATTTTGCACAGGAAGTCTGGAAATTGCAGTTTCACCAAATGAACAATGCTTTTTCCTATAGCTTTTCTACAATATTGGTGAGTATATAATGAATTACATCATATTTTTTCTCTATTGAGAAGAGCTTTAAATGGAGACTTGAACTATACCTTAATGACATTTTAAAATTAACTATAAATTCTCAAATTTCATGTAAAAAATTTGAATTTCCAAAATAATAGTAATCCAAAAATCAAATTTTCACACTAGGTTATTCTCTGAGGGTTTTTATGTTGACTCAAGTGGTTTTCAAATTGTCTCTAATGCCTTTATATGTGTGCGTGTGTTTAAAAGTAAGATAAAGTAGAAGGTGCTGTCCAAATTTTCTAAAACAAGGTTTAGGAATTGCTATAGATTTGAAATCATGTGTTGGACGGAAGGAAAACAAAACCTACAACAATTTTCCCATTTCCCCCATTTCCAGCGAAGAGGAGATGCATAAGTTTGGGCTAATTACTTGAGATGATTTGATGATGTGAATGATGTAAGGGTGAGTGAGCTAAAGTTATGAAGTTCTAAAATTCTTTAAGAACAGACCAAAGAGAAACCATATCTCGAATCCTCTCCGCCAGAGCTCTGGCAAGGATCACCGTGGGAGAGAAGCCGGGCTCTGTGATAATACCTCATTACAAACTAGTGCATGCATTTCTGTCGCGCAAACTCACCAAGCAAATAGAGAAACGAAGGATTAAAAGGTTGAGAAAAGTGATGGACTTACCTTGTGAGTTGAGCAATCCTTGAACACTGAGGCGAAGACATCGTTGTTACAGGTACAGCGGCGGTTCTGGCGGCTGTGTGTAATAAATTCGTTGAAGTGCATAAAGAGAAGCGGATTTATGGGAGGGTTTTGATGATAACTCATTTTTGTTATAAAAATGGAGAAAACACGCGTTGCATTTAATAAGAAACAGATGGTTCCCATCAATTAGTGATTTCTTTGGGGACCTGTTGAAAATTAATCTATTGTCAGTATTGGATAGTTTAACCGGATGCCAAAGCAAAATTTAACTCAAATAATTAACTGCAGTAAATTACACATTTTTATTTCAACCAAAAGCTGGACTTGGAAGCATGGTTAAAGAAACCGAATGGTGAAATAAATTGAAGAATTTTCAAAGTCAAATTTCATCTCTTATCTGGTGTCAATAATTAACTAGAGAATTGGGAAAAAGGCGAAGGCCGTAAAGAGGAAGGAGATTAGTAACAGTAGGAACAGAGATTAGTTATATATATGAACTTACACCCCCACATATTGAAGCAGATCTGTTCACAAAACTAGAGATTTTTATTTTGAAGCAAATTAAGATAGAAAGAAAGAAAGAAAGGTACATATAAACAACATGAGTAGCGAAGGCAAAGATCAATAAAACTGATGCTGGCTGACCTGAGGGGGCTGAAGAGAGAAGAAGGCATGTTGAGATTTTGAGCTATCTGCTTTGGTTGCTCTGAAGAGAAATTCGAACTAAAGAGAAAGGCGTTTGGAATGAGAACCGGGGAGGATGAAGCAAGACATATAATGGATGATTATTTCTTTGGTCAATGATAACGTGGCCAATTATTAGTGAATTAATTTATTTCCTATGGGGTAACATTCACGTTAATGTTAACAGTAATGCCAATACAGATCACGTAGGTGGACTATTCCTTGGATGGATACAGATTAACTACAGCTTGGCTTGCAATATAAAAAACTGTTGTACTTAATTTTAAATTGAATATTTAATTACCTAATTTTTTGTTGCAACAATATAATCATGCATGTAATGCTATATATGTTGATTATTATAAATTGAAAAATTCACAAGTCTATTCTGATGATATTTTATAATTGTTAAATTTTTGTATGCCTGTGTGCCTTATAATATTAAAATTAATGATTTAATTGTTGACATAATATTTTCTTCAGATTTTAATTTGAAAATATATCAATTTTTTTTATATTGAAACTATAAGCTTTTATGTGCAAAAAGAAAAAGTAGTAAAAAAACATAGAGCAACGCGCAACAGTATTAACAGAAATTCAATCCATAAGTTCCTAAATTACCAAAAAGAAAATATTATAAGTTCGTATTTCTATTACTATATTTCAATAGACCGATCGAATAGTTAATAAGGAAGGTGGTGTACGTGCATCAAAACATAAGGAAGGTGGTCCAAGAAGAAGAATATGGATTCGCCAAAGAAACGTAAAGAAATGAAGGCATCTATAAATAAATATATATATATATATATAGTGCCAGCTAGATTATAAATAATAAATAGCTAGTGAAATAGTAACAATGGATATATGGCAAGTCAAAGGAAGAAGGTAATGTAACATGAAACTATTCTCTCTCATTACATGAAAGAAAATTACGTGGAACCCACAAGTCGAATCCCACCTACTCCTCAAATAAGATACTTGGTCTAAAGCCAAGTACATGAACAAAAGATTAAACCACATCGTCGGTTGAACTGCCAATCTGGCTGTTATTCTGCTAAGAACCCAGATTATTCTGAGAGTTGTTGTGAGAAGAAGCACTATATATAAGATGGACTAGGTAAAGGAGCAAATTGGTCGTTGTCATCATCATCCGAAGCATCAGGAAGTCGGATTGCATGACGAGGAATGAAAAGCAACATTAAGCTTGGTAACACAAGGAAAACGAAAATCTTTAAGAAAACCCACTCCTAACCAAATATCTTAACCGACCAAGGACCATGAATTAGGATATATTCCTTGTCCTGCATGTTCACTTGACTTAAAACAGAAAATTGACCTTGAAGAATCCATGCATGAGCTAGTGCCTCTTTGAGTTTCGCTATGCTAACAATCTCTGATGAGTCCGTAATTAAACCAAGCATAGCCTCTTGCGTCTGTAAAAGGAAACTCCATGAAAGCTGTAAGCAAAAGAAGAGAACAAGAAGAACATAAGAGAAATAATCTGGAGATTCAGGAAAAAAAACCTAACAGGATCGGCCAATATATAGAGAGAAGGAAAGGTAACGTGCAGAAGCCGACGACAACAGCCGGTACTGAGGAAAAAACTTGAAATTCACCTGCTTTTTTATAACTGGTAACTGAGAGAGTCAAATATTTATATGCATTTTGTTGACTAATCTTAGGCTCTCGTGGGTTTAGATCGATTTATTTGGGCATAATTAGGTGTTTTAATGCATATTTGTTCACAGGCGTATTTTGGGAATTAAATGAGCTAAGTGATATATTATTTGTTAATATTTGTAATTCTTGATGTGGCGCCACTTGGATTGAGAAGGGGCAAAGATGACAATTCATGGGGTGCTGTCTATTTACTACCTCCGGTCCTAAATATAAGAGCGAATTGACTAATTTGAGGAAATTAAGAAAATGAGTTAAGTTAGTTATTTATAATAATAGGAGTTACCTTTCCTAAAATATCTTTACTAATTAAGTGTATTGGTTAGAACTACCATTATTAGTAGACTATGTTAAAAAAATGCATACATAGAAGAGAGACAAAATGGATATGCTCTTACTTGGGCCCAATATATTCCACTTACTTGGGCAAACACATTCTATATAAAGGTAAAAGAGTAAACCGATTCATCGTCTCCACCCATTGATATCAGTAATGGTCATTAAAACTTGAAAACTTTTCAACATTTTTACAAAAAGATTTAGTTCATATTTTCATTCAAAATTTTAAAGAGATGTAATCAAGACTTTTCTATTTCTGATAAAATTATCAACTTCATTAAAACAAGATAAAAAAATTACAGTAAAAAGACCGACCGACCATAGCAAAAAAAAAGATGCCTAATAATCATCAAGACTCTAATGTTAATGGTTAACACTAAAAAATCAATAGCTTCAATTTGTATAAGATATGCATAAATATGGAAGGATCCTATGAGGCTTTAGGCCATATGCTGTCTTAATGGCCCAATGCGTAACACTGTCTTAATGGCCCAACACCAAATACGGTCCTGATTGTTGTCGGGTTCGTCCATCCAAACAAAGGAACTTCTCCAATTCTTTGGTGAACACTTTTTTTTTGGGTGGAGGGTGGGGGAGTGCAAGATTTACTCAGAGAATTATAATCAGGTTTTTAAAAAAATATGTAATTATCTTAAAATTTATTGACAACTGAAAAGCGTGTAATGACAGGTTCTAGGATAACAAATGAGAATAAATTTATGCTAGTTACTTGTCATTCGGATTTCTTAGTAATTAATTTTCTTTCTTAGGATCTTGTGGTAATTCTCCCTTACTTAAACTTACACATTGACCAAAAACATAATAATTCTTTTTTAAACAATTATTCACAACGTTCAGTTGGATCTAAGAAGCATCTACAGAAAGGAAAAGGTGATAAGCAAAAATATATCAAGGTATTTGAGACAACACATGATTCACTTATAAAATATTCATTTTTTAGGGTTTTCCCCCCCTAAACTCGTCAATCAAGTTTGCAAAAATAATGGATGGTTTTAGAAAAGTTTATAAAAAAGTTAGTTTAGCGAGTTTTTGTAGAAGGTACAAGTTAATACTTCATGTTGGATGCTCTGATTATTTGGCATTGAATGCCTTTATAGGATCAATGATGATTATGTCGCCTACTCACATATGAGGAACCTTCTTGTAATTTAAATGTTATTGGTGCTCCATCCAGTTCAAAATATAAGATAAATTTTATCTTATAAAAAAATTAGTTAAAATCAGCTTAAAATAATACTATTCTCAGTCTTTAATATAAGAGTTAATTAACTAATTTGAATAAATTAAAAAAATTAGTTAAAGTTAGTTATTTGTAATAAATAACTGGTCTTTCCTAAAATATCTTTACTAATCAAGTGTATTGGTTAAAATCACCATTATTATAAGGACTATCTTTAAAAAAATAGATAATATGAGAGACAAGTGGATTGTGATCTTATATTTAGAACTAAAATAAAAATTAAACTAGCTCTTATATTAAAAACCGGAGATAGTACTCCTCTGGTCTTAGTTATAAGTCACTTCCAATATGTTTCATACAGACCAAGAAAACGTTAAATTTCACCATTAACTCTCATTTGAAATTCAACAACTTTTCAACTTTATCCCTATTTAATATACATTATACCTCATGTAAACAAAATCAATACAATAATAAGTGAACGGTAAAATTGTTCATCAATATAAAATTTTCTTTCACTGCCTTATAAATAGAACTAAAAAATGTCTTCTCTCTCCGTCTTATAAATAGGATAAGAGGAGTAAATATTTAGGACATGTATTTTTTTTCCAAATATGCCCTTATAAATGAATAGAATAAGTAAAAGATGCAATTATCAAAAAAAAAAAAAGAATATATGGGGGCAAATGAAGGTACTCTCTCTTCCCATGCCTCCTAAATGAGCCACTTTTTGTGATTAACGCAGTCAATAACCCCAAAAAAAAAGTGCATATGTTAGTGGTACAATAAAAAAAACTCATTAAATGCTTAGACAGAAATGAATATTATCTTATTAAAAAAAATCAAGCCCTTCTAACAAAATTTATCTTATATTTTGAACTGAAGGGAGTACTTACTAATAAAATTTATGTGATTGAAGAAATTTATGTTACATTTAATATATAGAGATGGAAATTGAGACGGCCAATATAAAGACGTACGAAATATATTCAGTTAATCTCAGAATTCATCTTTATTGTCCTCTTTTTTTTCTTCTCAATGACAAAAGTATACGTTTGGTTTTCTAATTATAAAGTTTCATGCATAAATCATGTTGTAAAATGTCATGCATAAATCATGATGTTCTCTTTTCTTTTTTGTTTCTAAACAAAATGAGAGTAATGACTATTGTTATTTAATTTGTCTAATGGCTATTTAGCTAACTTCTTCCAACTATAAACAAGGAACCATTTGTGTTGAGAAAGAAGAGTTTAATGTCCGAAAATTGTTTCGGTAATTCTTCAAATGCTTCAAACTTTTGATCAAACATTCTCAGCTGTTCTTATAACTTCAATTGTTTGTAGTAACTCAATGAATGATGAAATCTTTGAACGATAAGTGGTCGTTATTTTTTTATACTTTGATTATGACTCAACATTCGTGGGAATTTGAGCGAATTTCTTGATAACCATGTGAGTGGGAATGAGCATAGACTTGTGAAATCTGAGATCGTTGTACAATAGGAAATAAATAAAACTTCTATGAATTAAGTGCTATGAATTTATTTATTTTGTAACTTCTATGTAGTGGTCGAGAAAGAATCAGAGTACAGTGAAAAAGGGGTTACTTTATATATTGTAATTATTTCGGGAAGATAGAGCTTCGACTCCGGTCCTTATAAGGGAGATGACAGAAACAAGCATAAAAGGACACAAAAGAAGCTCTCAAACAGTCAAACCTTCCCTCACAAACCAAAATGAAGGGAAAAAAGAAAAAAGAAAAGGAAAGAAAAAAAAGAAAGCCGAGGAAGCAGTAGAAATAACGAAAGAAAGCGAAAGAGATGAAGAATTAATTAGATGGTTGAATCCAAGGCTAAGATGGTGCTGAGATTCATGGGGTTCATATACTTGCTGGTTCCTGACATGATCTTATTAGCCCTTTCCGAAGGATGAAATGGATCCCAAAATGCGTACACATCACGGTTTGGGCACAAGTAGCAGCATGCCACGTTTGATGTTATAAATCTTGCTTCCCCACGCAACAAATTAATCCTCAATGCATGAAATTCAGAAGCTGGCCCGTAGAATCTTCTCGTACTCGGTGATCAAATATTTGACGTAGTCGGGCAAAGGGAACTGGCGAGATCTGGCTGAGAAAGGTACAAAGTAGTAGGGGCATTCATGTGGCCCATTAACCCGCTGTGGCTGTTCAAGCTCGGAAGAAAAATGGCCAGAAAAAATTAGGCATTTTTGAGCAAGGCCGGTTGTTGAGTAGGGTCGGGCATGATGTGTCGCCCTGCCTGAAAATATAAATAATTTTATTTAAAAAAATATAATATGCATACATGTTGTTATGCTATTATAGTTTTTTAGTTGTCTTATTTTTAATAAATTACGGACAATTGGATATTATTTATTTCTTATTTAAAGAAGGATGTTGTGTACAGAGCCATTGTGTTGTGTTCGAATGTGTAAGTAATGTGAAATTTTGTGAACTACTAATATTTATATTTATATCTTTAAATGTTACAACCTGCGGAGTTGTGGAATATATTTGATGCTTATAATATTATTTATTAGTTATTGACTGGAGTTTTCTTTTCATATGATATTATGAATAAGCATCTCTATTTGGTAGGGAAGCCCGCCCTTACCCATTCTGAAATGACTTGGGCTTTTCAAGAGCATGGGCAAGCAGTATAGCCTGTTCATCTTTTAGGTTGGGCCAGCTTTACCTATGTGTAGCCTTACAGTTTTAGACTTGTTCAATTTTTAGCTTTTTAAATGAATTTTATATTTTTATTTGTTTTTTAAGCATTTTTATGTTGATGTATGAAATAAAGCACACGAGCAATGATATAGAGACCCCAACAAACCCTTGTCGATATGCTTTCTCTCTCTCTCTCTGACCATAGTAATAAAATGTATGCATGTAACTTCAACAAACAAAATCTGAATTTTTATGCTACGTTTGGTATGATGGAACTTGGGCCAAAGAATTGGAAGTGGAAGTGGAACCCATGAATTGAGCTGATTGTTTTGTGTGAACCCACTTCCATGTGGAACCCACTTCCATCAAAAATGATGGAAGTGGGTTCCTTGGATAGGCCGGTGGAATCCATATAAGTTCCATGGAAGTGAAAATTTCTGGACAATATTGTCCCAACTTATGAAATATATGGACATCTTTGCCCTCTTCCAAATAAAAAAGAAACCATATTATTTTCTCATCTTCGATTGTCTTTCCGCATCCCACAAGCTGGTGGGAGAAAGCAAGGGCTCATTTGAAGACGCAGCGAAAACCAGCGGATATCGCAGCAGAGCATAGCGGAAGTTCCAACGGAGGTAGGAGCACAGGTCAAGAAAGCACTGACGAGGAGAATAATAGACAAAGGTGATTTTTTAGATCGATATGCTTTTCCTAGATTTAGTTTCTGCACATTCTTCTTCTTGTACTTTTTCATAGGAATTTTTCTAGGCTTTGTTTGAAGCTCATTCTTGATTGTCTAATTCTTGTTTTGTGGGCTTAATTGCATCTATGGTTGATACCTCTTAAAAAATATTACTGTACCCCTAATGCTTTCTTCTTTTTTTTTTAATCAGAAAACACTCCCATTAAAAATCCAGAATCTAGAAATAGAAGTTAAATTACTTCTAAGCATTTACAAAAGATTGATATGTGGCGGAATACATTAGGTGTAGATTTGTGAGCTAATTCACACAACTTTTCCCACTGCTTGTTAAGTTCTGTTTTGTTGATTCACACATTTTTCATTGATTTATGAGGACCCACGTTATTGTGTAGCATGAACAATAAATTTTCAAGTTGCAGTAGCACACGTAATAATTTATAATATTTGTAAATAATTACAGAGTGGGCATTTGGTATGACTCTTGAACAGGCATAAGTAAGCTAACCAAGAAAAAAAAGATGAAAAAAAAACCATGACAAACTTATTGTTTACCAAAGCTATAGCATATATATCAAAACTAGAAAGTTCTGATTCTTCTGGTATACTTCGGGTGAATTTATTGCCATGCTCTTATTCATAGTCTTATGTTAGGTTCATTTTTTTCTTAATATTTATTAGTTTTTGCAACTCCTTATAACTCTTTCAATTGAATTGGATTTTGTAACTCCTTGTAACTCAACTTTCTAAGATGTTATTACGTTTTTTTATACAGCCATGGAACCTGAAACAAGTGAACTAATTGTGCATCTGTTGGTTTGGTGGTTGCATGTTGTATTTGCTATGTATCAATGTTTTATGAGTGTCTGTATCACTGTTTCTATGCGTAGACGACGAATTCCTCGTCATCCATACATTGTGGACTTCTATTCTAGGAGAATTCATCTTCGAAATCTAGTGTATAATAGTGATACCACTTGCTTTCACCAAATTAGAATGAATAGGGCTACTTTTGACAAATTATGTCTCATGCTTGATGTAAAAGGTGGTTTAAAACCAACTAATAATATGTTGGTTGATGAGCAAGTTGCAATGTTTCTCCATATTCTTGCTCATCATGTAAAGAATAGAGTTGTACAATTTTATTTTGGGAGGTCTGGTGAAACTATAAGTCGATACTTTAATATTGTTTTAATGGCTATGATGCGATTGGCTGAGGAGCTGTTTAAGAAACCTGAACCGATTCATGAGGATTCAATAGACGAGAAGTGGAAGTGGTTTAAGGTATAATGTTATTGATTACAAAATTATGTAAATTAATTTTATCATTCATTTGATTGTACTAATATCATTATTTGGATGTTATTTCAGAATTGCTTGGGTGCCCTTGATGGTACCCATGTTAAAGTAAAAGTCCCTATGAAAGACAAAGCAAGGTATAGGAATAGAAAAGGAGAAATAACTACTAATGTGCTTGGTGTTTGCTCCCCTGATGCACAATTTATATATGTTCTCGCTGGTTGGGAAGGGTCAGCTGCTGATGGGAGAGTTTTGAGAGATGCTATTAATAGAAGAAATGGAAACTTAAAAGTGCCTCAAGGTAAATGTTATTTTTTGTGTATATACTTGGAAAAATTAATATCTGTATTGTTTTGAAGGTCTTTCAAAATATTATTTCTGTAGTAAGTTGAAAGCTTTCTAAAATTATTTATCATTCTCATAATTTAAATTTTTCCTCATGTAGGACAATACTATTTGGTAGATGCTGGGTATACAAATTGTGAAGGATTCCTTGCGCCTTATCGAGGTCAACGATACCATTTAAGTGAATGGAGAGATGGAAGACATCCTGTAAATGCACGTGAATGCTTTAATTTGAGACATGCGTCGGCACACAATGTCATTGAGCGTTGCTTTGGAATGTTAAAATTACGTTGGGCTATTCTCAGAAGTCCCTCATTTTACCCTGTTAGAACTCATTGTCGAATAGTCATAGCTTGTTGTCTTTTACACAATTTGATTCGTCAACAAGGATCAGATCCTCTCGAGGATGGATTTGAAGAAATGGATATGGATATATCTAACACAGATGCTCCACCTATTTTGACAATTGAGCCATCTAATGCATGGGGCAATTTTCACGAGACATTAGCCAATGAAATGTTTGCTGACTTCATGAGACATACGGATAGTAGATGAGTAGTTATGAATGTAGTGGAATTGTAATTTATTTATATAAGTGGATTAGTGTTTGTGTTATCTTATTACATGTCACTTTTCTATTATGAGTGGCCTAATGTTTGTATTGTGTTATTGGTGAAATGAAGATATTTGTTTTATAATTGAATTTACTATTATATAGGATGGTACTAACAACAATTTTCATGGGTCATTTTACTGTTTTATTAATTTCTTGTATAGATAATGGAAGCAGAGGGATCATCCAAAGGAAAGCAACGTGTTTGGACAGCTGAAGAAGATGCCTTGCTTGTTGATGCACTGCTAGTTCTTCATGAACAGGGCTGTTTAATTTCTGATAATGGTTTTAAGACAGGAATATTTACTCAATTGCAGAAAATGTTGACTGAAAAGTCTCCTCGATGTGGCATTAAGGCTGATCCTCACATTAGATCTCGTTTGAAGACGTTAAAAGTGAATTGGCAAGCCCTATATGACATGGTTAATGGAACTAATACATCAGGATTTGGATGGGATCCAGAAAATCATTGTGTTACAGCTGAAAAGGTGGTGTGGGATGAGTGCATAAAGGTAATTTTTATTACTTAATGTTTATGTTTTTTTTATAAATCATGAAATGTGAAAGTTTATTATATATTGTTTGCTTTTATTATTTCTAGAGCAACAAAAAGGCTTCACATCTTCGTGGAAAAACTTTTCCCCATTTTAATGCATTATGCACAATATTTGGAAAAGATAGAGCTACTGGAAAAGGGTCAATTTCTGGATTGGAAGGTGATCAACTTGATGAAAGTGAAATTTCCCCACAACTTGATGCAGAAAACATTGATGATGATGTTGATTTTGGAGAAGAAACAGAACCTTCAGTTGCTGCTACAATTGGAGAAGCCAATACTGCTACAACTACAAGTAGGAAGAGGAGAAGAAACAGTAGTGATCGTGATGAACTTTACATGGAAGGGCTTGAGAAAATAATGACTATTACTTGTCAAGGGATTCAAGAAGCTACTGCAACTTTGGGATCTCATGTTCAGAAGCTTGCAAGGGCTGCTGTGTTAGATAAAAAACGTGACTCTCTTTATAATGAGTTATGCAATTTGAAGGAGCTATCTTCTCATGAGATACATGATGCATTATTTAAAATTAACAAGGATGAAAATACCCTTGCTATCTTCTCAAGCCTTCCATATGAGGCAAAGTTAGAAATGGTTCGTAGGGTGCTTGCGTAGCTAGAAATGATGGTGACAATGCTTTAGGTCATATTTTCATTACACATTATTGGCCATGTATTTTGTATATTTTGTAAGTAAGCCCCTGCCATCTATTTTTTTGGTATATGCAGGGATATATACTATGGCCATTTAATATTTTTTTGGTTCGTAGGGTTATGTTCAAATCTTCTTCTGGAAGATAGTGACTTCAATTGTATCAGCTAGATTGCAATTAAATTATAATATATGCGAGAATATATATTAGGGATATGTATTATGGCAATTTATGTTATAATATAATTTGATTGTCATTATAAATATATTATCTAAATTTAGATATAATTATTAATTTTAATGTTCTTTTTTGTTGTATGAATAATTTAGATATAATTAATGCTTGTTTAATTATAAAAGATCTTATGACTTATCATTTGATTTGATTCAATATGAAAATATATGATTTAATTAGTTGAGAAAATATAATGGGATATGTATATTATTCCATTTATGCTGCAATATATTTTAATTGTCGTTATAAATATATTATCTGAATTAGTGGTCTATTTCTAATATTTTGATTTTGATATATTTGCTGGTGCAATATTTGTGCAGTATAATTATGATATATTATTACTTTGCATCATATATTCATAGTCTAAAAAGAAAATATATTATAAACAATCACACTGATCTAATTTAAAGTCAAATGACAAAGCTACATTGTAACATAAATATGCTTAAAAAAATTTGTATCTCATAAACCTCTCTATTTAAGAAGATTTATCACCAACTCTTTCTTTGCATTAAGTGAAAGATGAGAAAAAATAACACGTAACTCATCATCTCTAACCAACTTAACATAAGCTTGTTGGCGCTCCTCATCAGTTATTCCTTCTACCTTCAAGACCTCATCATGAAGCATCTCAAACTCATTAACAACTTCATTATAAATATGTGGATCTTCTTCAACAATCTTGCCATTGTTGAACACCATGTTAAGAGCATCAAAATGAGGGAATGATTTTCCACGTAACTTCCCAACTTTCTTGTGGACCTATATAAATAATCAAAACAAGTAATTACAAATTGCTCACATTAAATTATTAATAATTTTATCTATAGGCTTACCTTGATATAATCATTCCATACATTCTCTTCTGCAATGATACATTTTTCTTCAGCATCCCACTGAAATCCCAAATTATGTGTATCATGTATCATCTCATATATCATAATCCAATCTTGTCTAAGTTTGTTTAGCCGAGAAACAATGTCAGGCATAGCTTTTATCCCACACCCATCAACCTCATGCTCCATCAATTTTTCTATTTTCTTAAATAAATATGGTTTGAACTCATTTCCAGCCATCAAGCTTCCTTCTTCTTCCACAAACTTTAATAAGCATTCAATCAGGACCTCATCCTCCTTAGGAGTCCATAAGTGAAGATTTCTTGCCATATCCTTGCATAATAATAAAGTCAGAATAGTAATAAAGGGAAATATATGTAGTTTAAGTCCTTCTAATCACAAGAATTATATTCAACCATCAGCACTAAATAACTACAATTTGAGACTAAACAACCAATTCTAGAAATTAAAATTTCTCTTCAAACCAATTTCAATATATAAAACAGTTTCTAATATATAATAGTGAAAGAAAGTACTTTCAGAAACACCATATTAAATCTTGAAACAGTATTTAACTAATAATAGTAACCACGAAAAGCAATACTCCTGCATAGCAATACTCCTGCATAATTTATCATTGAGATTAACATGGACTATCATATATGTTTCAACTCATTAGAATAGTTCGACACTCCTGCTCTCTGTACCAATGTATACTACACCATACAATTTTTTTTTTTTAATTTCTTCCTTTTCATTTAACCAAGCATTATTTTCTTGAACCTTTACCCAGGAGATCAGAACATGAATAAATATTGATGAAAATAAAAAAAGCAATATACAAACTCACAAGTTCTTCTACCGAAAAAAAAAAGAAAAGTTTTCGATCGCAAAAACTTACGGGGGCAAATCTTCGTCTTCAATTCAGATTGGCACAGATGAGGGAACGAAGGCCAAGGAGGAAGAGAAATTGATGGTGTTGCAGTGCCTTATGGAGTATATGAATATGAAATCGGAGAATGCGAGGCAGAGGACGTGAGGCGTAGCGATTTGCTGAAGGAGATAATTGGGCCAAAATGAACGACTAGGGCAAGAGAAATTTCATTATTCTGTTTTATTTTTTTACTTTTTTAATGAGGGCAATAAGGTCTTTTTATGTTACTTTCACACATTTTATCTTTTTTTTAATAAAAAAGTTTATATCAATTCCCCATTCATTTCTATCACACCAAACAAACTTTTAAAGCTCACTTCCAGCCCAATTCCACCACTTCCACTTCTACTTCCATTTCTACTTCCACTTCCATCAAAAACTTTTCCATCCTACCAAACGAGGCATTTTTCTAAAAAGGAAATGATTTTTCCAACAATTAACCAAAAAAATTACTACTATCATCTAACAAAAGATATCAAATTGTTTACAAGCACAAATTTCAGTAACTAAATTGGTTGTTTGTTATACTAAAATAAGAAAGTTTGACATTTGTTTAAATCAGATTTTTACATTTGAGGAAGAAGGGGCTCGCAATAAAAAGAGATATAGGAATTAATAAACACAAAAAATAGAGCTTGCTAGCTAAGCAATAATTAGTAACTTAATCTTTTTTCCTAAACCAAAAAGAAGTAACTTGAAAGTTTTATCAAATAAAAACACAGTAAAAACAGATATTTAACAATATAGAGGTTTTTAAAGAAACATAAACAGTCATAAATTTCAATGGGTTTGAACAAAAACAATTAATCGTTTATTGGTAATAAACCATATTCTTCCAAGAAACCAACCTAAATTGCAAAGTTACTTGGCCATATCCACAAATAATTATCTGCCAATCATCTAATATTTGGTACCTGAACGGATGCTCTGTACGTGTTACTAAGGATGAAAGATTACTAGCGTAATATCAAGAATATAGTATTTTGAGAAGAAGACATTTATGAGTTTGTTAGTTACGATAACCTTCTCTGGCAACCATAGAAATCATTGATCTCATATAAAGTACCAAAAAGCACCAAAACCATTTGGAGATAGAGGAGACAAATGCCTAAACATTTTAAGAGGCACATACAAATAAATTGTAAGTGAGGTGATTATCAGCAAACATAGAATGGCTAAAATATCAAGGTCAAAATGTCCACTTTGCAAAGGTTTAACAAAATGAAATACGTGTCATATGATTTTATCTCATGACTAACAATAATTTTCTCACTACATCATAAGCAAAGAAAAACCTCTTTGTTTATATTGTCCAGTATATTCTCTACAAAGTCATGTTGGCGTATGTAAAGGGAAATAGGGCCAGAGGAGTGTACACAGACGCATATGAGTATTTATTCATCATTCATCAAATTTAGAAAACTTCAATGCCTGTAAAGGGAAAAGGTTTACGCGGAACGGAAAAAATCTCATAACATCATGAATAATTTATTAAATGAATAGCTAATGTTCAAAATAAAACAGCTTAAAAGCCTATATTGTAATTAAGAGACAGCAAGTAATGAATTGCACAATCACTAAGACAGTCAATGACTAAAACCAGTGAATATACTTGAAATTGTACAGTGAGGAGCAAAATCCAAACACACAAGTATGAGAAAATCAATACAAGTTATGCAAGTCAAGCTTAGTCACCTGTTCAAAAAGTTAAACCAGTGAATATGCAAGTCATGCTCTTCTAATAAGTTAATTAGGTGTGTCCATTAGACTACTCATGAAGCAACTCTTTGTCCATAGCTTGACTCTAAATTTTTGACTGAAACAACAAAATTAAAATAAAATTGGTGGAAAGCACAGTAATTTTGCAGAAGCCTAAGTTCAAGAAATTGAAATTTAATTTGTTATTCATTTCATCCCCGCCTACATGTCTTTATGATGCACTTTTAACCACAGCATGTGGATTTAAATAATTACATTATGTTTAAACTTGAAATATATAATTTCCCCTTCGCAAGAAAAAAATTAAAATCTATCTATTACCCCTTTATACATGATGACTATTGCACCATTAAGCATGGGTTCATAAGTAATATAGTTTTTTGGCCAAAAAACAAAACAGTAACGGGTGTTTGGCAACCCTTAAAAGTGCTTCTAAAGAGCACTTTTCCATAAAATGAGACAAGTTCCTATATATATTTACTCTGTAGACCGTAAAAGCACTTTTAAAACTATGATTTGGTTTCTATCTAAATATTCGTTGTGCCCAGTAATCAACCACAATTAGTAGTAACCTGTGGTCAAAGAATAAAGGTGTTGAATCAATTCAAGGTTAGTATTGGCCCTTTTTACATTTTGTAACTTTCAAAACATTTAATAATTTCCTGAAAAATCAGCACAAAACTTAAACATTTAAATTTTAAAAAAATGTAATATTAAACAATAATTCCAAATCTTAAATATGTCCACACAAATTTTAAAAGGATAATATATTTACAGTTGACATATTTAAATTTAAATTATAATAATTGATTTTAAATATATAAATTAATTTGATAAAAAATGGATTTTTTAATCAAGGATGATTTTTCATTTATATTCATGATGACAATGATCAATTATAATTGACAAATTTTTTTATGAAGTTATTTTGTACATCTTTAATTAGAGATTATTAATTACTAAAATATTTCTGCTTAAAATTATTTATTATTTCAAAAGTTACACCGGTATATTGTTTAAGATCCCATTACTATAATAATTTTTAGAATTATAACTCAAATACGGGTATGCATATTGAAAAAGTAGTTGCAAAATGCTTGTGCCGCACCTACAGGTGTGAATGGAATGTCTTGGCAGCACAAAATGTTGAATCGCTGCGGCCTAGCTTTCTTCCGGGACACTAAGGAATAGTTAGCTAAAATAATATTATATATTTAGCATGAAAAAAAATAAAAAT